TGGGCAGGGATGCTTCCCACTGGAAAACGTTGCTCATGGCCACATCGAGCTTGGCCTCAAACACCTGCAGACATGGGGCATTCACAGCTTCTCTGGGCAACCTGTTCCAGTGCCTCACCACCCTCTCAGTAAAGATCTTCTTCCTAAAGTTTAATCTAAATCTACCTTCTTCTAGTTTATAGCTGTTATGCCTTGTCCTACTGCTACAGGACCTAGTGAAAAAAGCCCCCCTCACCATATTACTGTAAGTCCCATTAGGTAACATAAGGCTGCAGTGAGGTCTCCCTGGAGCCTTCTCCATGCTGAATAACTCCAGCTTTCTCATCCTGTCATCATAAAGTAGGTGCTTCATCTTTCTGATCATCTTCACAGCCCTCTTCCGGACACCACTCCAATAGGTCTATGTCCTTGTCCTGGGATCTCAGACCTGAATGCAGTACTGCAGTGGGGTCTCACAAGACCAGAGCAGGGAGGGACAATTACCTCCCTTGTCCTCCCGGTCATGCTTCTTTTGGTACAAGATACAGTTGGCTTTCTGAGCTGCAGGCACACCTTGCCAGCACATGTCCAGCATCTCATTCACCAACAATCACAAGCTTTTCTCCTCAGGGTTTCTCTATCCAAAGATCACCTGGCCTGTATTTGTACTTGGGATTGTCCCTACCACGTTCAGGACTTTGCATTTGGCCTTGCTGAACTGCATGTTGTTTTATGGGTCCATCTCAGAAACCTGTCAAGGTTCCTCTGAATGCCATCCCTTCTTTCCATTGTGCTAACTACACCACTCAGCTTGGCATTGTCAGCAAACTTGTTGAGGGTTGCATTCAATTCCACTGTCCTACTCATCAACAAAGATGGACTTCGAGCCTCCTTCAGTTCTATGCTTGAGGTTTGCATTTGTTTTTATTCCTTTCATACAAATCAGTTAAAAATATTTTGTTGCCAGCTTAAATAATTGACGGTGTTTTCATAGGTCGTCTAACTTTTCTCCAGAGGTACTCACATTGCATTTGGACAGTGCTTTCTTCTCCAGAGCAGCTGCAGATGCAAGGACAAAGAGCAGATGGGACTAAGATGGCCACTTTCAGAGTCACCAGCTATTGTTTCACTTCTCTGGGAACTGTGTAATTCTATATACTGTTCTTTGGTAGCAATCTTTCACAGGGTGAAGATGATACCCTTAGTTTGAATTAATAAGGATTCACTCTCTTTTTGTATTTTTTATCTGATTCTGTGTTTTTTAAAAGACAATAGACTCTCAAAGAAAATCCAGTTAGGAAAGGAGGAAGGGGCTTATGCGGAAGACATATACTGAAGTTGCAAGACAATACAAAAATCAAAAATATTTCCGCACTCTTATTGCACAAGCATGCATGACTTTTCACATCAGTAATGAAGCTTGTTTTTCGTTTTCGTTGTTTTTAAATAAAGAAATATGCAAAAGCAACATGAATATAGAATGCTACTCACAGGCCTCAGGCAATACCAAGAGATGAAGATCATGAGACTACTCAAATACAAGAATCCTAAAGGTCTGTATTTAAAGTTTCTGTCCTTCTAGTAGAGAAGGATAGGACATGAAAGTTTGTTCACATGGTGTCCCTGACAAGCAACTGAAAGTACAGTCCTGGCGCCATTTCTGTAGCACCTGTTAATTTCTGAGCTTTATGTTACTGTTCTAGATCCTAAAGCATGATAATACATATTCCATCCAGAACTTTTACACTTCCTTTTTTCTTTTAATTTTGCAAATCTTCATTAACCTTCCACGTCCATTCTGCTTCAAACTTTTAAATTCTTGATACTTGGATAGTATCTTACAGAAATCTGAGAATTTGCATGATCCTTAATTGAGGACCATGCAATTTTGCTGTAGCAAGGGAAAACTCCATACAGCAAAGAGAAGACTGAATAAGACCACAAATCTGTTCCAGGAATCTGGGTGAGACCTTGTTCCCAGCAATTCCCCACTTCACTTGAATAACTGTGGTGCATAAGCCAGGAGTTTCCTTGTCAAGGCAAAGGCACAATCCTAGACACAGCCTAAATGTTTTTAGAAGTGATTTTAAGACTCACAAAGTAGTAAGATTGGCAATACATCTAAAGTTAACATAAATTTCTATGATTTTTGGTGCTTTACTGAGTTGGAAATCAAGCCCATCCTCCACCAATCCTATTCTGAGCATAAAAATGAGATGCAAGGATTATGATTCACCTGCCCAACAGTCAATTTCACTTGTTGTTAGCTTGTACAGTTAGCAAAATGTGTAGGAAGGCACAATTTAGGAAGAACAGCTTTCCTAAGTTAAGTATTGCTCACTCCTCAAAGGTGACAAAAATTACATGTAGTTTTGCAGGTGCAATCTCATCACCTCTCATATTCTCATAATGCATTCATGACTCCTTACTTTGACCAGAGACACCTACCAGGATTTGGCTTGTCTAAATGCAACACCACCAACTCCTCATCAAAGGTTTATACTACCCCAAATTATTACCCTTTTGTTGTTTTCACCAACTTTCAGCTTGTAGCATCATTACTTTTGAAGTGTATGAGCTTGAAGTCTGCAGAAGCTTGTTTCATGCCATTTCTCTAATCCTACTTCTCCAATTCATTATTTCCTTCTCTACGTGATATTTTGACCAACTTAGTTGTTGGTGATGCCTCCTGACATTTCCACATTCCTACATTTTTTCTTCAAAGTCATTACAAAAAAAATTGCTCTAAGAGGAACTTTGATCTCGAACACTACTTCTTACTCATATGTGTGTAAACTGCTTGCATGACTAATTTTTTTTTTTTTTTCCCCTAGTAACATTAATCTTTTCCAGCTGAGTTGAGGATTTCCATCATGGCATTGCATTAAGTGTTCAGTTAAAATTCACTTGGTTCTTGGTTCTTATTCTACCACTGTTTCCTTGCCTAGGCATAAATTTTTTAATCAAAGAATCATCAGTTTCGTTGTGTGAACTACCGTGGTAAAACCTTATTTAGTTATATTTCAGGTTTCATTTATTTCTCTGTAATTATATTCTCCTTCGGAATTTGTTCTAAAGCTCTGAATGTTATCAACGTTCAGTTCAGCAAGATTACTTTGTCCTCTGTTCTCAAATAAAATATTTCCTATTTTCTAGACACACAGTTCCACACTAAGTTTGACAGATGTATTTAAAATACTTGCATACAGGTTTATAATTTTATATGTGCTTTCAGAATTCTGAAATAAAGATTAGTCATTTCTTCTGATGATAGCATATAAAATTCAAATTTTTTTTTTGCTTTATAATTGGTATGTTTCCTATTCTCTATCCATCCTCATTTATCCTTGTGTTCAATACTACTGTAAATGAAGTAATGCATTTTGGAAATAAGGTTTAAAGCTTCTTAATCTTTATTCCATCCACACCCTGTAACAGTTCAAAAATTCCCTTCCTTGCTCTCTAATTTAAATACAAACGTATTTCAAGATGTTTTTGCTAGTTGTTCTATTATGGAAATTCTCATGATTTCATATCTAAGACACAACTTTATGTATGATACAGCCTTCTCACTGTTAGTGACTCTGAGATGATTATCCATCTAACTGGGCCTAGAAACTTTCTTCATAATTTTTGCCTATCTGGGATGCAAATTCTAGGCAGTTTTAAAATCTAATATTTGTATTTTTGTAATTGCCTATTCACACTTTGTGTTTTTATCCTTGGGGTCCTTGCATCACCCTGAGTCTATATTCTTAAGGCCTCCGCTCTTATCCTCTGTGCTCCCAATAGCTGTATTATAAGCTTCTAATATTCAGGTAGGATGTGCAGAGACTCAAATACAGCTTTCTACATGCTAGGGAATCCCACAGATGTCTGCAAGTGACGCTAAAGATATCTCAGTAAATGAAACTTGCATGAATAGTGCTGAATTTGTCATGCACATACAGATAATCCACACAGGTTTGCCATACACTCAAATAATAGGCAAATACCATGCTCACATACCATGCAGATGACTTGTGCCCAAGCTGTTGCTATTTGCCTGGGATTACCCTGTATACCAAAATCCAAGGCTCACTGCCAAGGCCTTCATGAGAAACACATCTGGACTTGACATACTTAAAGACCAGGCGTGAGGATTGTGGATCCAAGGCTGTCTCACGAAGTAACACAAACCTGGATAGAGAAAGCATCTAATCTAAATTGTGCAAATAAATAAATGAATGAGAAAAAAAAAAGAAAAACAAAACAACAAGAAACAAACCAAAACACTACTGCAAGAATAGGGCTATGTCTGGAAAACATAAACCCAATGGAGAATTGTGCGAATAAAGCAAATATCTTGAAAAAGAACTGATACTTTAGAAGATACTACCAGCAGACTCTGCCAAACAGCATTCCTGATGACTGCTAGACATACAGCCGACCTGCCAGTAGACAGTGTTAGTGGAGCCCAAACTAAGAAAAAAGTGTGCTGTCATGCAAGGAACTTTGTACTCATCTCAGCTCTCCTGTCACCTTTTGCAAATTAAGCTTAGCTTCCTAAAACAGTGCTTGTGCATGAACTCCCTACGTTTTGAAGCATAACTTTTTTGGGAGCAGAGTACCACTGAACCCTTCAGCATGAGAAAATATTAGCTTAAGTGGACTCAGTTTCTTGATTTTGGTGATTGCTGTGGTCATCTTTCCCTATCCAATTTTTGAACTGAGCTATCAAAAAAAAAAAAAAAAAAAAAAAGCTATCAAATGGTACATTTTAATCAGTTTAACAGATAAATTTAAAATAAGCATTGGTTTTCTCTCAGACCTAACTACAGGCATTAGATGAACAAGCTAAGATGTTTCTGACATTTATTTCAGTGTTTCTTTCCTGCAAAGGTATAAAAATAAAAGTACCTCTTCCTTATCACTTCAAATTCTTATCATCCTGGTAATGTGTTTAACAGCTAACAATCTGCTTTCACAGCATCTCTTACATCTTGCCAGCTACTACTGAAAATCCACCCCACAGTTATGATCTTGTCTCCTGCTGTGAATTTGAGATTGGCATTTCACAAGGAAAAGACATTCATTTTCCACTACTAAGAAATCCATCAAATATTTGTGTTCAGCTATTACTCTTAATAGAATCATCTACAACTTCAGCTCTCCTTTCCCACGATCCCAATAAACTGTACAGTACTAACGTATAAGAAATTCACTTTATTACAAGAGCAAGAAAAAAAGATTTAATCATAGCATCAATTCCAATACCTAAGAAGATAAGAACTCTGCACACTTACACAAAAAAATGTTTACATTTTTAGTTTACTTCAGAGGCTTCCAAAATTACCAATTTACTTTTTAGTGCATAGAGAAGCTTACATTGAATGTAACAGTTGATTTGCAGAATCAGACTCTATAACCCAGAGTTAGGTTATAACGCAGGCACATTTATTCAACGAGATGCATATCGTTGGGTATGTGGAGGATAATTCCTCCTAATACACACAAACAAGAGTGGTACAAATTTGTAAACCAACCTTATGCATATTCAAAACATGTCCTGGAATTTAGTTACATATTCATTAATTTTCTGGAAACTCATTTGCATGCTGCTTCTCCCCTTGACACTTGTGTGGTTCATAGCGGGAGTCTTCCTCTGGTGGTCATGGGGATGAAGTTAATAGTCTTCCTCTCTTTGAGTCTTCGTCTTTAGCCTAATTTTGTGTTCAATCATCAGAAGTAAACTGGTTCTTCCTGACAATGCCTCAGCACTTCCTCATGATGTTTAATTTCTTTCCATTCAGTTTACCACATCACTCTATCCCTTATCCTGTTTTTCCATCGCAGCACTCTGTCCCTTATCCTGTTTTCTCCAAATTCCTGCTTAGCTTGCGCCCTAATACAATAGCTAATCAATAACCTCTCATTCCTTAATTCAATTCCCCCCTTTTCTTTATCCTAGCAAATTCTTTTGCTAGATAACTCCATTACAGGAGAGTGAGGCCTTAAAATAACTCCCACTTTCCACTTTCTGTCTTAGCTTATGCCTTTTCCATTCCTCATAACTGTTCCTGGATGTTTTACAAAGCCATAATACACATCTCATTACAACACACATTAGGAAAAGCAAAATGATTATGATAATACAAACTACAAAAAGTTGCTTTAACCATGCAAAATTAGGTAACCAACTGGTAAGCTTTTTCCACAACTCTTCCAGACCCTCTAATACAGGGCCAGCACCAATTTGTATCTGATTCATATTGTCCTTTACCTTTTCCAATTTCTTATGTATGGACTCTGAATGGTCTGAAAGGTTAAAGCAACACATCCCGCTAAAGTCTTCGTAACCATGCCCCTGTGCAAGTAGTAAAAAATCAATAGAGGCTGTTTTGTAGGACTGTGTGATGTATATTACCTATATCATATTACTGTGGATGTGAGATTCAGCTCCTTTGCGGTCCAACACGCTAACTTCTCTAAATCTGTAGCATTTTTCGAGGCAAGTATTGGAAGTAGGAGGGCTGTTATTACCCTAGTAGGGTAATTCCAGAATGTAATTTGGCTGTGACATGTTTCCATTAATTGATGTATGCTCCAACGTGATCAATGCGGTCCCTTACCAGCCCAGATCGTGCTGTTTAAGAGATTCCTTATCCTGGGGGCAAACAAGATTATCCTGCCAAGGTAACAAGGTCCACCTATTGGCTTTATCGGTATACCAGGCCACGCTCTATCTCCGCATATTAAGAATATCCCAGGTGGTAATTGTTTAGCCCATGTACCATTACTCCATACATTTCTACCTTTGCAGGCCAGGCCTCTCCCAGATACACAGATAAACATGGAGTTGTCGCCTAGGGATCTCCATAGTTCCAGCCCATCCTTGGTCCAGTATTTGGCCATTAGGGCTGCATTTGTTGCTCACTTACCCTCAAAGCGAAAGCAACAGCTTCCATTCCCTATCTCCCTCCTGTCAGTGGAGTTGTGAACCACTTACCCCAGTAAGTCTAATTCTTCCAGTTTTGTATGTACGGCTAACATTTAGACTATTGACTATAATGGCCATTCGTAGAGCATCCTCCGCCCCAGTATCTGCTTTGTATGTGGGACAGGAAAGCGTGGATCCCATTTTTATCCTTAACCTTTTACACAGAATTGTGAGATTACTGGTTAGTCCTGTTCTGTCCTGAAATACAGACCATTGAAAACCCCATGGTACCCCAATAAAGCATGTCTGGAAAGGATCAGATGCTGTTTGCAATGCAAGACAGAAGGAGTCTTGTTTAGTCTTATTTGCCCATGTTACCCACATATTGGTTCGAACATCTATAGTATGTAACGCTTGCACTTCCCTTTTCATGCGTATACCCACTATCATCACAAGTCCTTTAAATTCCTATTCATTTTGCAGTTCTTCAAAGTACCAATCGAAGCGGACCTCTCTCTTCTGTGATCCATCGTGGTATATCACTGTATTAGGGGTAGGCTACAGGATCACCTAGGCCAGTATCTTGTCTCCAACAATGTTAAGTATGGATTGGAAGGGAAAAAATACAATGCAGCAACTGTCGCAGTACACAAAGCAGATTTGGTCTACTCTGTGAGACCTTTTGAGAGCAAAAAAACTTCTGGCATGCTGGTTGACCCAAAATCACTCTTGCCCCATGAGACGCTGGTTCTCAGAGGTGGCTTAGGCTGAAAATAAATCAACTGTGCTATGCAACTTCCCGTAGGGATAGTACAAGGTAGGGTTGGTGTCCACAGCATTATCTTAATTTCACCAGTAAAATCTGAACCAATAATAGCAAGCAAAACAAAAATATAAATTCGAGTAATAGAAGCAAATGTAATTTTGTTCCCCATAATAGGCAATCACCTACCTTTGTCCAGCGACAGGCAATCGAAGTAGCCGGGGACGATAAGACTTCTCTCAGTCTTGTGCTTCTTTCACCAGGACAGCGTCTCCAGTTCGCTTCTCCCTCGGGCTTCTTCCAGCCCGTTCTATGGACTCGGCTTCTTTCAGCCCTTCTCTTTGGCGGGACTTCTGGCAACCCTCCAGTCGGCCGGGGCTTCTTGCAGCCTGTTTTAGAGCTTCTTTCAGCTCATCTCTTTTTTAGGGCCTCTTAGCCCGGCGCTTTTCTCTGCCCGTTTCTGTCCGATCTTCCTCAGTAGTCTCTGTTTGTTCTGGTCCCTGTTCCGGTGCCAATTGTCACAGGGCTGCCCCGGGCTCTCTTGCTGGAGAGGCAAATGAGGTGTGGACTCCTTCGCTGGTGCAGAACAAAAGGCATTTATTGTAGGTGTTTATCACCTTTTATACCCCTGCAACACGACAGTTTCCCCGCGCAACCAAGACTGGTTACATGTAAGGGTTAGGCGCCTTGTGTATAAGTCTGGCTCAAGTTACTGTTGAGCTTTACCACTCATTAGCAATACAGTAACCTTCTTTACCCCACAGGCAACCACAGGACACTCCTGACTGCTTATATTCATATCATATATAGTCACTGGTGAAGTCTAGCATTTAGGGAGTTCACAACAACAACAACAAAAACAAAATAAATAATTTCTGAATAACTTCATTCAAAAAAAATCATAAACACACATTTCCAGGCTGGAGCTATATTCCAAACAGCTACAAATACATAAAAGATGGTAAAGGATGTAGAGAGAGAGTCAAAACTACTCTAAGTGAGAAATGCTACCCAAGAAATAGCAGAATATTTAACCAATATGTAAAAGTTCTCCTAAGATATTTACATCATCAGTAGAAGCAAAATGCAATTAAGCTTGGAGGTGGCAAGAAAGAAAAAGAAGCACTTCTAGACTAAGGAAAGCAGACATTGCCAGTGTGTTTTGAAATATTCGACAAAATTTCCTGACTTTAGTAGTAAAGTGTATTACACTATCTAATTGATAAAGAATGCATGTTTTTCACTTTGTTAATTTGGTCAATTCAGTTGGCTGACAGAATGCAGGATGTGGCAACTATAGAAAGTTCAAGCTATTTAACACCTTTTGCTGTGTAACTACCTTCCTTGAAATAAATACAAACAATCATGGACAGCATTTCACAAAAAGTTTAAGCATTTTATGTAAAAGCCCACATTCCCATTTTTATTCCTGTGGATTTCCTTTAGTTTGTCAAGAAATCAGTAGCTGTTTATTTATGAAAAAAATTTTAGATGCTTCTAAGCATGAGTAGTTCCTTATGCTAATGTTGTGATCTCTGTTATTTTGATGAAATAGGCCCTTTTTAATTTCAATCATACATAATTATACATTATGTCAGTAACAGCTGGCTTACTAAGGATATTTCTAGTTGGCTGGCTTTCTGAAAAAAAAAATATTAATTTTCTAAACAATTTATTGCAGCTATCTGAATTTAGAAATTTTTATTAACAAAGAAATACTTGAGAACATCTTTGTTTTGAACAAAGACTGCTTATATTAAGTCACTTGACTAAAGCTTGTTTTTATGGAACTGGGAAATCTTAATGTTTTCCAGGATTCTACACTGCTGTAAAACCTTTACAGATAAAACCTCCCCAGATATCCTTGTACATTCAAGAACTACCTCATATTGGAAAAGAGGAGCCACAAGGAAGAGGCTTTCGTCTGTATCTGTAAATAAATAAAAAGAAAGTAGTTGACCGATCAATAATAAGGTCTACCAATGCAGAAATCCTCCAATTTTAACTTGCTGATACAATTTTAAGAGAGTCCAGTCCTTCGTGTTACTTAACACCCTGCAAATTGAAAGACAAATCCTTGCTGACATGTTACTAGTATCCATATTTACACATCAGACAAACTACTTTCCTTTCTATGGACAAGTTTTCAGACACAGAAGCAGATGGCAAACAAGCCCCACTGCAATTAAAAGCAATAGGCTGATTTCCGCATTCTGGAGAACTCTGCCTTACAATACTACCTCTGCAAGGCTGAACACTTCACAATTACCCTCTACCTTTTAGTATTAGTAACAGACAAACAACACAGAGAACAGAAGCAGACTCCCATTCAGTGTTCACTTAGGAATCAAGAGGACTTACCTATTGAATCACTGTCACAGGACTGTAAGAAGCCAAGTACAGTCACTATAGTCAGACTGAACAATTCTGATGACATTTAGTTGGGCAGCATTTAAGCATATGTACTTATCTATTCAACAAAACAACAGCAATCTCTTTTTCCTTCTCAAAATTCAAGTGTCTGCTTCAAGGCAAAGAAGCCAAATAGGGTAAAACGCACAGAACAGCACATTAAGACAAAAAAATCTTCATTTGAATAGCTAATTTCATACAATTACTAGCAGTTTATCCTTGATATTTTAACATTGGTGTGTTATTTTTTTGTTTGTATGAGAATTAGAATAGCACTGACCCTCATGAGTAAAAAAGTGTAACATTTAATTACTGAAGAATAGCCTGGAGTTTCCCAGAAAAACAACAACAAAGAACAGAAGCCATGTTATCTGGGCAAGGCTTCATGGAGTATTATTAACAACAATTATGATCTCAAAGGAAATGGAGTTCTATTCAGGAGCCTTTATTTTTAAAGCTTAAAATATGCAAATGAAAAGGTATGCGGAGATGATAAATAAGTTGGATAAGCTTACATAGTAACACTACAGACAATCCAGTGTGGAAGTAATGCAGCACTAACAGCAGCTACAAGCAATCAAGCTTGCCTAATTCTAGGCCAAAAAATTCATCCATTAAGTATATGACTGCAATTGACAACGAGATTCCAGTCATGTACAGTTTACAGTACTGATAAAGTTACTTTTTAAAATACAGATTGGTGTTTCAATTATGTGCTCATTCTGCTTACAATTAAAAATAAATATTTTATGTTGTGTACAATGCTCTTCAATAGAGGTCTCAACAATCCTAACATTTCTTACCAAAAACTCCTGCGAGGTAGGTGTATCATCATCCCCATTTTACAAATGGAAAAGATTTGCCCAGAGTTTCACAGCTACTTAGTATCAGAGTCAAGAACGGGTCACCTGGCTCTGTACCAAACTTGTTCCACTAGGCAACCCCCCTTTTCAAGTTATATTACTGCAGTCAGAAAAGTTACTTTAAAACAACATGTATATTAACATTACAATATAGCATCTTATAATAAACCAAGAATACAGTATAGCTCATATTTTGGGTACCATTCCTCTCCTCCACCACTAAATCTTTCTCATGGAGATAACCAAAATAATTATGGGCAAATAATAAGCAGTTTTTAAAAGTATGCACTGTAATAGCAAGTGCATGGAAGACACGTAAGTGACTGGAAGTATGTTTCTCTTCATAAAGGTATACATGGTAGGCATGTTTTCAATTACGCAATTCAGTATCAATAACTCGTCAATCTCATTAATTACTATAGATATCTTTTTCCAAGTGTGTATTATAATTGAGAACTACTTCCCTCTATAAAAACTCTTAGAACATTTTTGAAGCTACACATTCAGCACCAACATCCACCAAGTGAGAATCCTGATTAAGACAAACACATATGACTTCAGGTTTTAACATTGATCTGTTTTCAAGTTTTATAATAAAGTGACTAACTCCTGTATTGGGACTGACAGAAGATAGTTGAGCCTTTGTTAAATTTGCTGGCAAAGTACACTTGAGATCTGAAACAAAATAACCAACCCAGTTCCTCATGTAGGCTCCATGACTCACCACTAAGATATTGGCATCTAATAACAATTTAGAAGTTCCATCATTATCAGAGCTAAATTCATGTACACCGCAGTGATCTGTCCAAGGAAAAGCTGACTCTTCTTCATACGTTCCTGAGCTTCTGTTTGCTGCCCCATGCATCTCTTGATCTTTCTTCTCTCTGATCTGTCCCACTTCAGCAGCTAGCTGACACAGAAATTCAAAAAAATCCCTTGCACGTTCTCTTACCTAAAGAGAGAAGTCAGAACAGTATGTTGTGAAGAATGTAAGAGACTTCAGGTTTCAAAAAAGCCAGAGATATTACTAATTCAGTCAAAAGATTTATCACAGACAAGACTCAGAAATCAGTGCTTACGTTACTGAACGCTGTTAAGAACTGCTCTGCCCTTCAAAGACAAAGTTGAAAGCAATTGCCATCAGCCTTCTGCATACAACAGCTTCACGAAGAATCAATCTCAGAATCAATATTTTACCTCTGAAGAAATTCTCTAATGGGTAGCCATTGGGTCAAAGGGTGTTTTTAACTTGGAAAATAAATACTTTTTACTGGGCTAAGCTTTCAGCAAGATGATCCTAAATAAGCAATAGCTGTATCTGCCCTAATGAAATGGCCTAGAAACTGGGGCCCAATACATAAATGACATACTTCATCCAGTGTTTCTCCTCCAGAAGGCGTGAATGTAGGACACTGCTGTCCAGCAGCCTTTGCCATAGCCTTGAGGTCTGTCAAAGGCCTTCCTTCTGCAACACCATATTTCTGTAAAAGGCAAATTATAAAGAACTTAGCAAGATACAGCACTTCCAACGCAAACATCTCTCAAACAGGCTTGTTTTCTAGATTCTCAAATGTAATGTGCAAGCTTAACTACTCTTCATATTTTATCATCGTGTTGGGAGAGGAGGTGCCTTTAAATATACTTTGGACTCATATACTCTTAACACTCATTTCAACAACACGAAATTCTTAGTATACAAAATTCAACTGAGGTTGCATTGCAAGCACCTCACAGGCGGATAAACTCCATTTACTCTTTATTTGCAAAAATATCACAATAAATTCTTTCTTAAAAGAAACAAATATTTTCTCTAGAGACCTCTGTAACTTCCACAAGAGAGAAGCAATTATATTCCCCCTTTTTTCAGGATGTACATTACTTCTATGAACAGAGTTATTAGAAAACAAGACAAAAATGATCTTAAAAACTATGCAAATGAACTAACAGAACATGGAATTAATGATTTTCAATGGCACATTTATTCATAATGCCTCCAAATGAAACGTTTACATGAGAAACACCAAAAACAACACATAATATATTAACTAGTCATTATGGATCAATAGTAGTTACATTATAAATTAATATTTATAATCTCTAATGTAGGTTAGAAGAGATTTAGTTGGATGTGTATTACCATTTTTTATTTTGAACATATCTCCAGGGCACATCTCTTAATAACAGCAATACAGATTAACATTTCTACCACTGAAGATTAATACTTCACTATCAGTAACAGATGAAAAAAACGTATTCAAGTAGATAGCTTTGGTCCTTTCTTGGAAGGTCTGAAGACACTGAAAATACTATAGTTATGAATATTTTGATAAAAACATGGACTTTTCCCATGGGATGCCTAAACGATATTACAACACCACATCCAGTGTGATTTACATTAGTAGTACCCAAGATCCCAAGATTAAAAATTTCCAGCTAGTAGTATCAAAATTGTATATATCACCTGTGTGAGGTCATAAAAAGAGAAAAGATGCAATTTTCTGAAAGATCTTTCTCAATTCAATATCCAGAACAATTGGAGACACTTAGTACCCAAGACAGCAGTAGGATTTAGTGTGATAAATGCCACATTTCTTATTATGCATGCTGCCATTCACAAAGGTATGGCAGTAGAGGTTGAACCTCCCCATCAATATTCCATTTTACTGTTCTACTGTCAAAACCCTCAGCTATGCACATTTCACAGATTGAGATGTTGATGACTGCAAAACAGACACGTGCTTATTATCGAGACTTTTCTGATTTCTATGCTGTGTGCATGCAGTTTGCTGCCATATTAACTTACTATAGTCTTTTGAATTTAATTGTACTGAAGCACATTTACTTTAGGTTTTCAGTTCCTTTTCCTAAAGTAAAATTCGCTGTTTAAGAGCATTAAGAAAGATGTAAAGAAATAAATTCTCAGAAACTACTGAAAAGAAGATTCTAATCTTGAAGATTTTTCTGAATTTCTCGCACGAATGCAAGCCATAAGAGTATATTCAATAGAATCAACAACATATTTCTTATAAAGAACTTAGCTTCTTTTCATGCTGTTCAAACTTAATTTCAGTTATCTAAAGCGTTGCCTTAAAACCTGTGGCCTGCAGAAACTTCAGTGGAATTTCTATTTAGTGAAATTTCTATTACAGTACAAACACCAGGAAAGGAAAGAAAAAGATACAGAAGTTAAGATTATACCTTGTAAAACTCTGTATCACAGCCCAAAATATTTTTGAAAATACCAGGTGATTAAGCAATTAAAGAAGACTGGGAGGCATGTAACTTGCTGATTTAAGGGGGGGTGAACCAGAATTTGTGACAAAGGGATCACAATGGGAAATGCTGTGATCACGTTCTGCTCTTTAAACACATAATTTCCTGCTGCTAATATGCACTTCTGGTTTTGTAGCATTTCCTTATTTAAAATTCAGCTGATACTGTTAATGCAGCATAGGAAGGGTGATTAATACTAGCAGAAACATCCAACATCTCAATTTATTCTGATTAAAACAGTTAAAAATAGACAGATGTTACTGTTATGCCTGTAATGAAGCAAAGGGGCTAAACAGGAAAGAAGATTGTTCCATTTTGAGAGAAACTCTTCCATTAGTCTTCATGCAAATTAAAAGGTAAAAACAAATAAAAAGTTAACATCAGGTTGTGTCATCAGGCTAGAGAAGAGAGACAGAGGGAACATCTTCAACATCATATACAGGGCTAGGAAACATAAAAATAATTCTCTCCACATGCAAGCCATACAATACTTAATTCAGAGCATCACAGTTACATCACTATCACTAAATTTTGGCTTTCCTTCAAAATTTTGAACTCAGACAATTTTTAGTAACAAACGTAAAAAATAAATTCTCAGTGACTAAAAACACATCATATAGCGCTCTCCACTGCTAAATCTACCATTTACTCAATCAAAATCAGCAACAATTGCATTTTCAATTTTCAATATTTAAGCAAACTCTTACGGCACTTACTCTCTCTCGAAGTCTTGTATCACACTTGATTTCCAAACCTTTGCAGAACTTATTTTTTTCTATAATTGTGGCAGCAGTCTAAAAAGTGAACATACAGTTACATCAATGAACTGTTCTGTTTTCCTATGGGATGCCTAAACGATGCCTAAACCACATCCAGTGTGATTTACATTAGTAATACATAAGATTAAAGATTTCCAGCTAGTAGTGTCAAAATTGTATATATCGCCTGTGAGGTCATAAAAAGAGAAAAGATGCAATTTTCTGAAAGATTTTTCTCAATTCAATGTCCAGAACAATTGGAGACACTTAGTACCAACAACAGCTGTATGATTTATCAATGCTTGCTGAATGTTTACGGAGCTAAACAGTGGATGTTAGCACAGGGAGGCAGCAGTTAGTGCACTTCATGCATTAGCAATAGCGGAGACAGTATCCAGAAGACAGCATGTAACTCCTAGTTCCAGTGATCAGTACATATTCTGACCCACAAATGATAAAGGAGACATTGCAAGACAAACTAAACTTCATTACTAACAGTTTTGACTTTCTCTCCCCCCGCCTTTTCAAGGCAAACTGCAAACTCCTCTCATATTTGAGCTGTGTAGTGACAGTGCACACTCTTCACAGATCTGCAGCTGCCAAAGAATGAACTTTCAAACAAATGGGAACTGCAGCTCTATGCATCATTGAAAAGGCTTCTACAGAGGATGTTCTAATGAATGGTAAAACATGTTCCCTTTATGCAAAGGACATTTTCTATATTAAAAGAGTGCAAATCCTTCTCAAGGAAAAGCCTTTCTCTAACGTAAGAGAAAAAAATGTTACAAAACTAACTCTCAAAAAGCTGAGCATTTCAGAAAGAATTTCCCTAAGGTGGGCACATAGCACACAAAGACTTACAAATATTAAAAACCACTATTAATATTTTTAAAAGTAATTACCACTATTCACATATTTAAAGGAAGTGACCTGTCAAGTAATCATTATTATGCAATTTAAAAATATCTAATTATTGCACTCCTCCCCACCATTTCTAGCTTGTTTTCTGCTTATATTATGTTGCTACAAGTGGGACTGAGGTGCAAAACAGATGAACAAGACAATCTACGCTAAAAATAAGAGATTTTAACCTAAATTTTGTTGCTCTTGTTTACAACATGGCTTTACAGTCTCTTGAAGCAGCACAACTGAAGAAAAACAAAACAAAACAAAAAGCAAGGAACCAACACACTCAAGAATTTCTTAGTTTCAATCATGCGAAGCCTTCTCACATATCCTGAAATCAGAGAATCAGTAACAGGAGACAGAAAGAATGAAGGGGCTTGCATTGCAAATGTGATCTTCAAAGAACAGCTAGTTGATCAATGCCACAATATACAAAACTTCTGTTTTCTCCCTTTTTTTTTTCTCACATATTTTATAATCTTGCACACAAAACTCCACTCAGTAACTAAAAGTATTTCTTCTTTAATTTATTAAAATAGCATATCAAAGTGAGAGATATGATACTATGTTCTTTCCAAAATGCGCATTTAATGCCACTTGTACAGACTTTACTGCAAGACTTGATTTTTGCTTAATTGGTCTGCATTCTTTTGAAAAACACAACAAATAGCTGCAGTACACAAAACAGTACAAACAATATCCCTGCCAATTTGCTTTGTTCCATCAAAACAAACAAATAAACTGAATTTGGTCTGTGTTACCTTTAAATCCTAATTACTCCCCTACTAAGAAGGCATATGCACATACAAAATAATGGCAAATCTGTAAGAAAAACACAGCATCCTGTGAACTGGCCTTTATCAGCTTCTAAACATGCTGTTACGCACTGAAGTTTCCACACATACAGATGCCTTATGAAATTCTATACAACTCAACCTTCAGTTCTAAATCCATTAAAATAACCTGTGCCTTTCCTTCATGCTATTATTTTTGTATCAGCAATAGCAGATAAGCAGCAAAATGTGAAGCTTATAATTACACTCAGTTTCCGGAAGAAGCACTTGCCTGCTTTGCTCGAAGGAGGTCGCTTGAGAAGACATGAGTAAACTTTACATTACTGAGAAATAAACCAGCAGCATCTGCTTGTCTGAAACCAGTTGGAGAGAGCGGCTCATCTATTCCTTGACCTACAAAACAAAACAAAAAAATCAACATTAAAACATGCAAATTTCAAATAATTTATCAGTTTAGCAAGCAAAGTTGAGAGAATCTACTCAGGCATAATATGAGGTCCGCTCCAAAAATAATGCCTCGTATTTTATTATGTTGGCCCATACATCAGAAGCAGATGTCAGCGGTATGGCAGTAGAGACTGAACCTTCCCAACAATATTCTGTTACATTTTGTTGCTTTGCAACAGACAGCAGCAGAGAGGAACAGCGTGTGACATGGAAGTGTGTATAAAGCAAAGGGATGTAACTGAATTCTACCGTGTGGAAAAATGGCGCCCAATGAGATTCATCAGTGCTTGCTGAATGTTTATGGAGACCAGAAAGGATGTTAGCACAGTGAGGTGGCAGATGGTGTGTTTCAGCAGTGGCAACAGCAGTAGTGGGTCAGTCCACCTGTGCAGATTTTTCTGAGCACGGTATGCAGGCTCTTGTTCATTGCTGGCAAAAATGCACAGTACACAGAGGTGACTATTTCAAAAAATGGATTTTTGTCATTGAGAATTTGCTCTATCGAATAGTGTTATTGTGCTCTCGGTATCTGTTATTGTTTCCATGAAAACGGAGTCATTGCTTTCAGACAAACCTACGTAAAATACCTCTCATTCTGCAAGTGGAGTGCAGTGACTATTTCTATGGTCATGTAGTATAAAGAAAGGGAGTACAGGCTAGAAAGATAGAAGGACCATTTAGCGATGATATTAATGTATATATATAAGAGAAATAGAAACATAAAAACTTTTAAACATGAATCAGAGAACTACATTTTCTAAACACAAGTAGTCATTTCAGATCACTTGTCCTTTCTAGCCTCTGCTAGGCTCCCTGCTAGAGGAGTCCCAGAACTGAAAGTCTGAAAATAGTTGTGACTGCAAATAAGAAAAAACAGACAATACAATTGAGATATTGTTGTTGATACTAAAATACACACACACAAAAACATGCACATCAGGAGAAGGAAGTCCTAACAAACATGATATGCTGTTTCCACTGCATTCCCTAACCATGATAATGCCCTGAAGATGAGGAAACAAGAAAGGATTTTGTGTAATGTGGAAAGCAGCACGCCCTTTCTCTGCCAAAGACAGTTTCACAAGAATTTTAGAGTTGATGTAAATACAAATTGTTGTAGTCTTTTCCTCTGCTCTACTCCACCTTGCATGTCGATGCTAACGCTCATGCAGCTGCACAGCGAGTATGTTGATCTAACTGATCTAGCTGAGAAGTAACCCTTGCAAAAATGATTTTTAGCTAGCATAATTTATGAAATGATCTGTCCCAAATGCTCTAAGACAGTGCTGAGAGAACCAGAACTTTGGTAAGCCAACATTTCATAAAATGACAGAATGGCTTGGGATGGAAGTGACCTCAAAGAACATCTAGTTCCAATACCCCTGGCCACAGGCACAGCTTGCCAATCGCTAGATTAGACACTAGATAAGGTTGCTCAAGGATCCATCCAGCCTGGCCTTGAACACTTCCAGAGATGGGGCATCCACAAACTCAAGCAGCCTGTGTCAGCATCTCACCACTATCTCCATGAAAAATTTCCTCAACAAACCTACTCTCCTTTAGTTTAAAACTATTCCTGCTTGCCCCATCACTATCTACCTATGTAAAAAGTTGATATCCTTCCTGCTTATTGTCTCTCTTTAAATAGTGGAAGATCTCCCAGAGCCTTCTCTTTTCCAGACTGAATAAGACAAGCTCCCTCAGCCTGTCTTCTGGAGATGCATTCCAGCTCTCTGACCTCCTTTGGATCCTCTCCAAAAGCTCCACATCCTTCCTGTGTAAAGGGCCCCAGATCAGGATGCATGTCCTAGTTTTTGTCAGTATTCCATATCATGACATCATGTGGCAAGCTGTGCAGGGAGCTGCATTTCCTGGGTCCTAGCTCCTGTCAGTCTCACTTATTCTCATGTTGGCTCTGGCTCTCTGAGAGGACAATACACTGAGAAGAAACAAACTACAGTTCTCCAAAATCTCCAGTACTCCCCATTCCAAGTGATAAGAGAGAACTTTTTCTTTCTGGACAGAGCGGACAGCAACAAGGTCAGAAATCCTTTCCTATTTGTTCATTACCCACAATTCCCTTTATATATCATTACTTTATTTTACCATTTGTAGTAAATTAGTCAGCTCTCCTTATCTTAACGGGGTTGTCTCCTTTTTTTGTCTCCCTGAAAAGGGCAAGGGAGCATAAAAGAGGCCAGGAAGCCCCTGTCCTAACCGTGACAATGCAGTACTCATGCATCCACTTATGGGCTTCAAAAGGTCAGAGTACAGAGGAACAAACACCTCCTTTGCCCTGCTGCTCACCTCTCTTTTAATGCATCCCAGGGTACAGTTAGCCTTCCAGGCTGCAAGTACACACTGCCAATTCACGTTCAGTTTTTCATCTATCAGGATCCCTAAGCCCTCCAACTCAGCAGACTCTGAAAGAGTTCTTCTCCCAGCCCATACACAAATCTAGGATTGACTGAAGCATAACATCTTGCACTTGACCTTGTTGAACTTCATTATAATTACATGGGCCCACCTTATGAGTTTGTCTAGGTCCCATTGGATGGTATCCCTTCCTTCTGTTATACTGACTGCCCACTAAGCTTGGTGCTGTCTGCAGCTTTGCTGAGGGTATACTCGACCTCACCATCTATATAATTGATACGGATGTTAGAGAGTACTGGTCCCAAGACAGAACCCAGAGGGATACCATTCATGACTGGCAGCCACCTGGACATAGAGCTGTCAATCACAAATTTCTGTCTGTGACCATTCAACCTACTCCTCACGTGCTGAACAGTCCACCCTTCAAACACCTATCTCCCCAAATTATAGATAAGGATGTGCTGCAGGCCCATGTCAAAAGCTTTGCAAAAGTCCAGGTAGATAACTATTTTGAATAAAAACTGCGTTCTAGCTATGACTGAACAATTCAAGTACATTTAAACAATCTTCACAACAGTGGTCTGGAATATCACGCCATTCTTACCAACAGATTTTGCTTATCTGATTACAGGTAATTTCTTCCTTCATTTTAGTGAAAGAACTGTGACACCCCTGTTAAAACCAGAAATGCACTACTCTACACTGACATTCTGCAGAGACTGAATTAGAAACTTATCATTTTCCACAACTATCAAGCTAACATTTGGATCCACTAATAAAGGTATTTTTTCTAGCCTAAAGTACACAATATTACTCTGTAACAATATGTAAGTCACTCTAAAAGTAATATCTATTTATTTCCATGGAAATGACAACAGATACCAAGAACACAATAACACGATTTGATAGAGCAAATTCTCAATGACAAAAATCCATTTTTTGAAATAGTCACCTCTGTGTACTGTGCATTTTTGCCAGCGATGAACAAGAGCCTGCATACCGTGCTCAGAAAAATCTGCACAGGTGGACTGACCCACTACTGCTGTTGCCACTGCTGAAACACACCATCTGCCACCTCACTGTGCTGACATCCTTTCTGGTCTCCATAAACATTCAGCAAGCACTGAATGAATCTCAGTGGGTGCCATTTTTCCACACGGTAGAATTCAGTTACATCCCTTTGCTTTATACACACTTGTATGTCACACGCTGTTCCTCTCTGCTGCTGTCTGTTGCAAAGCAACGAAATGTAACAGAAAATTGTTGGGAAGGTTCAATCTCTACTGCCATACCGCTGACATCTGCTTCTGATGTATGGGCCAACATAACAAAATATGAGGCATTACTTTCGGAGCAGCCCTCTTATTTAGCACTTCAGTTGTTGATTATATTGATTTTGCAGGGAAGAATAATTTTCAATCTCACAGAAACTAACGGAACAGCTGATACTAACCTTGCAGTATCTTGTCTTTGTTGTATCTTGTTTCTCCACTGAAAAAGATTATATACAAAAAAAATTGTGACTTAATTTTCAATCAATCATGGTTCACAAACACTGTAATATGTGCCAAATGGAAAGAGTTTAAATATAAATGATGTACAGTATAACACAGCCTCCTTTTAAAAGGATGCATTTGAAGTATTTAAAATAAAATCATTTCAAGTTCTCAACTCCAAATGTGCCATCAGGATTTACTAAGATATGGAACAAAAAGGAAAGTAATATCTTAAATTCATCATAAATGCAGCACAATTTATCTACTAAAGTGACATCTCCTCATTGGAGAGATAGAAGTAGGAAAACTCTGACTGTACGAGCCAATGTGACTTCTGTGCATTAGAGGGAAGTCAACTCAAGAGATTAGCACAGATAGTATCAGAACAGGAAACACACCTTAAAGAAGCACAGCATAAGGCAGAGCTTCTCCACCAGACCCATCACCATCTTCATAGCCCTCCTTTGGATGCTCTCCAATGTTTTTATGTACTTTTTGTTCTGTGGATCCCCAAACAGCACACAGTACTCAGGGTGAGGCCACACCAGTAAAGCATAGAGCAGGACAATCACTTCCTTCAACCAACTAGCAGTGTTGATGCATCCCAGCATACAGTTAGCTTTCCTGGCTGCCTGGGCATACTGCTGAACTCATGTTCAACTTGTTGTTCATCAAGATCCCCAGCATCTCATCCCCTAATCTGTATGCATATCCTTCCTAGGTGCAGAATCCAGCACTTGCTCTTGTTAAACTTCACAGAATCACAGAATTGCCAGGGTTGGAAGGGACCTCAAGGATCATGAATCCCCAACCCCCCTGCCACATGCAGGGCCACCAACCTTCCCACCTAATGCTAGACCAGGCTGCCCAGGGCCCCATCCAATCTGGCCTTGAACACCTCCAGGGACGGGGCATCCACAACCTCTCTGGGCAGCCTGTTCCAGTACCTCACCACTCTCTCTGTGAAGAATTTCCCCCTGACATCCAACCTAAATCTCCCCTCCCTCAACTTAAAACCATTTCCCCTTGTCCTGCTGTCACTCACCCTTTCAAAGAGTTGATTCCCCTCCTGTTTGTAGGCTCCCTTTAGGTACTGAAAGGCTGCAATGAGGTCACCCCGCAGCCTTCTTTTCTCCAGGCCGAACAAGCCCAGCTCCCTCAGCCTGTCCTCATAGGGGAGGTGCTCCAGCCCCCTGATCATCTTTGTGGCCCTCCTTGGACCCTCTCCAACAGCTCCCTGTCTTCCTTGTACTGGGGGCTCCAGACCTCGATGCAGTATTCCAGATGGGGCCTCACAAGAGCAGAATAGAGGGGAACAATCACCTCCCTGTCCCTGCTGGCCACCCCTCTTTTGATGGAGCCCAGGATACCATTTGCCTTTCGAGCCACAAGGGCACACTGCTGGCTTTGTACAGTTGGTGATTGCCCAGTTCTCTAATTTGACTAGACCTCTCTGCAAGGCTTCTCCATCCTCAATGGAGCCAACAGCTCCTACCAATTTAATATCATCAGCACACTTGCTCAAAACACCTTCTGGTCCTACATCCGAGTTGCTTATGAAAACTTCCTGAAGAGAACTTGCTCTGAAACGGATCCCCCACTAGTGACTGGCTGTGAGTCAACTGTTTACTCTAACCCTTTGGATCCAAGTCATCAGCCAGTTTTTCACTATGTTTCTGTCTAGCTGCATGACGGATATCTTGACCAGGAGGATACTCAGAGGAACAGTTCTGGAAGCTTTACTGAAATCCAAAAAGATAACAGCTGGCTTCCCATGATCAACTACATGGGTGACCCTGTCATAAAAGGAAACTTAGTTAGTTAAACAGGACTTTCCCTCATGAACCTGTGTCAGCTGCAACCAATGACTGCACTGTCCTTCAGGTGCTCTTCAATAGCTCTAGAACATTTTTCTCCATAATTTTACCAAGTACTGAAGTGAGACTGACAGGCCTGTAATCAAGGTTTTTCTTGCCATTCCTGAAAATTGGAATAATTTTTGCAGCTTCCAGTCAACTAGGACCTCTCCACGTTCTCAACACTATTGAAAAATAATTAAGAGAGTTCTTCTGATGACATCAGCCATCTCCTTGAGTACCTGGGAATGAATTCCATCGGGCCCTGTGGACTTCATCCAGGTGTAACAGCAAATCCTGTATAAGCTCAGGACTGTCTGGGAGTTGGCTGTTATTGCAGCCATAGTCTTCTGACTTGGGGCATTCTGGGAGCTAGAACTTAACATCAGTGTTGAAGACAGAGGCAAAGAAAGTCTTGGAAGTCCTTCCTTAGTCTATGCCCCTGTTTGTAATGTGACCATTCTTACCAATATTCTCTCTGGCCCTACTTTTGTTGCTAGCATATTTTAAAAAAATCTTTTTATTTTCCCTCACAGTTTCGGCCAGCTTCAACTCTGAGGTGGCACTTAAAAAATACCCTTTCAAAAGAAGTTTAACAGGAAACCTTACTAACTAGCTCCCTGAGCAGCCTGAAATCTGCTCTCCTCATATCAAAGGTTGAGGTTTTGGTGGCAGTTCTCCTATTACCACCAAGCATTTTAAATTTGATTATGGTCATTATGGCCAAGACAGTCACCAATTGCCATTTCAATCATGAGACCTTCTCTGTTCAGAAGAAGCAGACCTAGGAAGGAAACTTCCCTCATTGGATCCCTTAGTACCTGTACCATGAAGTTGTCCTTGAGGTGTTTTAGGAATCTACTGGACCTGCTTGTATCAGCTGAGCAGTGCTCCCAGTTAACATCTGGTAAGTTGAAGCCTCCCATAATGACAAGAGGAGTTGATATAGATGTCTCTCTTAGTTCCTCAAAGAATAATCAATCAGTGTTGTCATCCTGGCTGAGGCTCTCAACTGTTTCACCACCAACTGACAGCTCCATACAGTTCGGCCCCTCCGTTAAATACAGTGCCACTTCCCTGCCTCTCCTGCCCTGCCTGTCTCATCTAGAAAGTCTGTAGTCATTCACCACAGCACAACAGTCACAGGACTCTTCCCAGCAGGTTTCACACCAATGATGCTGTAGCTCCGCGACTGAGCCCAAGGCTTATAGTTCTCCTTGGCTTGTTCTTTATGCAGTGTGCATTGGTGGAAAAACATTTCAGATGTGCTTCATTGAACGAATTAGAGCAGACTGAAGGATCTCACTAGCATGCAGCCCCTCTGATTGTGATGTGTGACACCTGTAAGGTTGTGGCAACTTACAGTTTATTGCCAGCAGAGTATGTGTACTTCAGGTGGGTTAACGGTCTCACCCCCCAGCCCTGACATGCTGCCCCTAGACTCATCTCTAGTGGGCCTGGTTTTATCCCCTTCCTCCTTTGAACCTCTCAATGTTCCTGTCATGGTTTCATGGTTTTCTATTGGTATTCCACATCATAACATCATGCAGTGCACTGGGATTTAAAGAATTAATGCTGCAGCTCCATGGATTTTTTACATTTCCAATTTCCTGGTCTCAAAAGAGAAGCATGAACTACAACTTCCAGAAGACTTCATTTTTCCATTTCCATTTTCCATTCAGAGGGAAATGTAAAGCAGATAAAGTCACGAGACTTCCCTCTGTGCTCTCTGGTCACTTTGTCTATAGCTTTAAAGATTTCGGTTTTGGAAACTCTCCCTCTTTTACATATTACTTTATTAGCTTCAATTTAAATTATGTTGTATTATAACGTATTATCTCACATTCTGCTACTACACTTAGTAAATTGTTGTGTTTTGTTTTTTTTCCTTTAGCTCATTGCTGCTGTTTTTTTCTCATTTGGGCCCATTTCCCTACCTTTTCCCTTTCCTTCCTGGGCTGTGTTCCTCCAATAGCACCAGCTGTTAGCCATACCTTGATTGGATGGGTTTTTCTGTTCCTTTCAATATTTTTCACCGCTATTGAAGGGACCAAAGAGAACACCACCTACACTCCCACTCCTTCAACTAATAGCCCCAGTGCCCTGAAGTACCTTCTGATAGTTCTCAGGCTTCTCCCATCAACTTCATTGCTGACAGCCTGAACTACAAAATCTGGTAATAATAGGAGTGCTTTGAAAATCAGAATATTCTGTCTTAAACATCTTAAATGATACTTTTTTTCCAGGAGAAGGGCAAGTAAAACTGCATACAGATTTAGAAGGAAAAACTTAATACAAAGTTAAGCATGCTTTGTCAAGACATCTCACCTGAGAGAAATGTCAGTTGCTTAAGTTTTTGCAGCACTGAGTGCCAAACATGCTGCTTGCTTTTCAAATATCTATCACCACTCCTGGGCAAAACTCCTCAAGATGAGCTTCAAACAGATAACCAAACATGGAAAGCAAGTACTTCTAAGAGAGAACACTGTATTTTACAACATGTTTTAAACTCTTTCCAGCACACACAGCAGCAATTTAATTTTTCAAACTCTCCCCAGGGACTTTTGGTCTTCTGAGAAAAATGCAGCAGGCTGGATAGAGTCCTTCCTGCTGACCATCAATTAGGGGGTGGAGAAGAGCAATATTTGCTGTTTCCCAAGCAGCATAGCATATACAAGTGGAGTCTAACACCAGTCCATTTTCTGATGAATTAATTAATTCCAAAGTTCTGCAAGAGTCCTAGCTGAAGATCTCAAGTTTAACAAACTGTGTCAGGCCTTCATGCTTTCTAGTTGATGTAAAAGGCTGTAACTAGAACATCAAGTCATTAGATACAAGTCTTTAAAGGAAGAGTAACTCTTAAAAGGAGGATGATTAGAAAAAAAAAAAAAGTCACTGCTCCCTGCTCTCATCAAATATTAACATGTATTACGATTAAGAGGAAAAACATGTTTAATTTTCATAAAAATTAACTGTTAATTGCTATCGATTTGAGAAAATTGGAGAGTCTTATTCTAGTTAACCACAGGTTTCTGGGAATATCCTGTTGAAGCTTGAAACTAACCTTAACAATTCCAAAGAAGTCACAAACGCCATTTAACATTTCACAGAAGAAAGGTTAGACTACCACTCCTAAATGAACTCTTCACCCCTGAGCGTGAAGAGTTCATCTGAGACCTTTTGGCAGGAGAAAGGTCTCATGACCAATCACCACAGAGTTCACAATCAGTGCTGACTAAATTTAGGTGTGATGCTGTACTTCACTCAATACTATTCTGACCCAGCTTGACTCAACAGTTAACTACAGCATACCAGACCAGATTCGCGCACGCAGTGAATGCTAATACCACCAGAGGCAAAAACACGGCCCGTCTGGGTCAAGTGGTTCCCTGACGACCCCGCAGCAAAGCAGGCATAGGCAGAGCTCAGAGCACCGGTACCACACCTTCCTCACGAGCCAGGCACTGGCTCTGCTTTCTGGTGACGCTGCTAAACTAGTGCAGCTCCACACCTACTTCGCAGCGTTCTAGCAGAGCGGCACTGCTGACAGCAAGCTGATCAGCGCTGAAAGAGGGTCTCCAGCGCCCAGCGCTTTGTCCCGCCGGGACCGTTCTTTACGTGAGGCAACGCCGAAGGAAACAGGCGATGCCTGGCGTCCGGCCCCTACCCGTTGCGCTGCGGCTCTGGGCCACGCTACCCCGTGGTTAGATAACGGCCTCAACCGGCGCTCCACGGGGGAGCCGCGACACAGGAAACGGGCCGCCCGTGGGGAGAAGGGCGGAAGTCCGTTAACGTCACGGTGCGTGCTGGCACCAGCGGCGGATGGTGCATCGGGAAGACAGCGCAAGGGCAAAGGAAGGGCAAGAGCGTTCCCATAGCGGAAGCGGCGAAGGAGCACGGTGCAGCGGCGGTACTCACTGGCGGACGACGGTCAGCCCGAAGCGAACCATGGCACAGCCACGCAGCTGGGCACAGACCCCGCTACCGGCTGCTCCGGTCTGCGCTGCAACGCCCGCCCCGCGCCCGACGGTGACGTCACAGGGCAGCTGCCGCCGCACCTCCCCTCAGCGGCCGGGAGGACGCGGCCCTGCGTGAACGTTGCGGGCTTCTGCGCGCCGCGGTGCTAAGGTGTGCTGGGGGCGTGCCGCTGCTGCTGGGAAGCAGGAGTTTCTTTTCACACACGCAAATAAAAAGAACTGTATTTTAAAAAGCCCCTCTACTTTGGCAACTGCCAGAACGCTTTCTGCAGGAACGTTTTTGACAACTTCGTGCCTCCATTCCAAAAGCTCACTGCAAGGATAAGCACATGCTCAGGCATGAGCTCTCACAGTGGCCTTTTCCCACGTGCTGGGATATGCTGGAAGAAGTAGTGCATGCATTCAGTGTCATAAATATTTGGCAGAGGCTGTGGCTACCAGTGCAGGTTCACCCACTGTTTGGCAGAAGAAAGCATGCTGGGGGAGAAACTCCAGCTTAGTGTGGTCCATCATATAATAGAGGTGTGGGCTGCAACACACCTTAGAAAAGGTGTTAGAAAGCTACATATGAAGAATAATTGCTTTTTAAAACTAAAACCAATGATATGTACAGTCTGAAACATTTTAAAAGCCTCAACGCACATATTCTGACTTTACAGTTATAAACGTCAAGTGACTTAGCTCAGAGTAATATGAATAGTGGGTAAATCATGCCGAATACAAGTTAGTTGAAGGACTTGGAAGCCAAAAGATTCCTCAGCAATCGTCAGCAGAGATGGAAGTGGTTTCAAAGTGACTGCTTCAGACCAGCTATTCTCAAGGCAAAGCAGTGGGCAATATAGGCACCCACCAGGCAGATATCCACAACAGCTGGGGTCAGGATGGTACTAGTCATGGAATGGTTTGGAATGGACCTTGAAGACCATGTAGTTCCAATGTCAGCCATGGGCAGGGATGCATCCCACTGGAAAACGTTGCTCATGGCCACATCTGAGCTTGGCCTCAAACACCTGCAGGCATGGGGCATTCACAGCTTCTCTGGGCAACCTGTTCCAGTGCCTCACCACCCTCTCAGTAAAGATCTTCTTCCTAAAGTTTAATCTAAATCTACCTTCTTCTAATTTAAAGCTGTTACGCTTATCCTACTGCTACAGGCCCTAGTAAAAAAGCCCCTCACCATATTACTGTAAGTCCCATTAGGTAACATAAGGCTGCAGTGAGGTCTCCCTGGAGCCTTCTCCATGCTTCTCTGTTTCCCAGCTTTTTCATCCTGCCATCATAGGTGCTTCATCCCATTGATCGTCTTCATGGTCCTCTTTTGGACTCCTCTTCAACAGATCTATGACCTTCTAATGCTGGGGGCCCCAGAATTGAACACAGTACTCTGGGGTATTCTCCTTAGAACTGAATAGAGAGGGAGAATGAACTCCCTTGTCCTGCTGGCCATCTGTTTTTATGCAATCCCAAGCCTTCACGCCTTTTCTGAAAAATGAGACAGAATGTGATCTTCTTCTGATCCTATTTACCACATCTTTTTCAGTACACAGGATCTAGATGGGAGATTGGTGGGACTGCTGCAGATTGGAGGAAGGCCAGCTTTGCTCTGCAGCCACCACCATTCTTGGATGAAGAGGAACTGGGGAGAGAGGCAGAGTAAAAAGGAAACTAAATTGAACAATCCCACCCACCTACTTACCGCACACATACCGTACTTATGTCTCACACATAATCCATATCACAGTGCTGTTTGGTAACTCAAGATTAAAGCTGACATCTGAGCTACATAAAATAAATCAGTTGTGCTGCCTAGTATTCTTTCTGAGCCAACTGACAGCACTTGTGGGAAGATACATCTGCATTTTGTAGTTCACATTCTTTTTATCCTGCATGAGTAAAGGAATTCTTTATTCAGTTGCTAGGGTTTGCCATTCAGACTCTCACTTTCTCCCTAGTGTGAATAAGCAAAGAAAAAGAAAAGAAGTTTTAGGAAAATAGAAATTTGTTTTGCCATTCTTTTCCAACCTCCTGTTTTTGAAAAAAAAATGTTTATGAAAAAGCACACACACATTTTGGCAACCTGCAAGGATACTATAGGGAGTAGGTATTCTTTAACACTGAAAAATGAGCTAACTGCTGGTAAAATGACAAACAGAATAACAGAAGAGGCAACCGAAGATAATCATTTTCCCTTCAGAAATCTCAAGATTTATGGTTTACAGACAGTGTAATTAACCATAATATTAGTTGGTCAGACAGCTGAGTGTCTTTGCAATAGGATTTCACAACACAGTAGAATAAATAAGTCATGTGAAAAATGATTCTGGGTTGCCAGAGATCTGACCTAACTTTGAAATTTTTTTAACACACACACACACACACAGTATATAATTGAATATATATATATATATATAATTACATATATATATAATTGAAGACTAAAATATAGTTTTCATTTTCTAGCACCTTAAACCACATGATAAATATTTAATGCAGTAGTGGGTCTGTTTCACTTCCCTTTTATCTCTCCTTAGTACTGTGGCATAACCTGTGTCTCAGAACTGACATTTTCAGTGGGTGAAATTAGTGACATGTCTAGCCTCTGAATGATCTGATGCCAAATGACTCAGCTCTGATCTATTTCTTCACCATTAAAAACAATTCACATTTTCTCTTCCATTGTTTTATCATCTTCTCTCTGTTGACCTCTTCTTCATCTTCATAGCATGTATATTTTTTATTTCCTGAGTGTTTGACCTTTCTTATTTTTTATTTTTTCCTCTTCTGTTGTTTCTCAGATCTGCTGTAGCACATCATGTCATTCTATGATTATGGGCCTGTGTTCTAAATTGACCCAGTGAAACAAAATGTTTATAAAGCATAACTGCTAAAACAAGCAAAGTAGCTTATCCAATGAGGAATAATATTTTGAGGAAATCATCTTAGGAAGAAAAATCTTTTGTGGAGCTGTAAATTATTATTTTTTTTAATGGGTAACTTATTAAAAATAAATAAATTTCAACAGTGTTGACTATATACTTAAGTCATAATCATGTGGATTGCATAACACTAACATTAGACAATATTGGCAATTCAGGGAAAGTTATCCCTCTGGAATAACAGCTTGCTACTAGAACAGAAGTCATCAGCTGGGCTATATTCTCTGTATTCCCTCTTCATTTGGGGTTCTGATCTTGCATCCTGATCTTACAAGGACACCAGCCATGCAGAAACCTACGCTGAATTTATCCTCTTCCTTCCTAATAATCTTGCCAAGGACCTGCTGGTATGAAGAAGTTCATGACTTGGTCAAATCCTAGCACAGAGACTGTGTTCCAGCCAGTTTTCAAATTTGACAAGTTTGAGTACATGGTTGTGTAATACCTTTACAGTAACTACAGAGATTGCCTCCCATTTATTTCCATGGAAATGCCACACAAAGAGTACATTAACACTATTAATAGAGCCAATTCTCTGCTACAAAACACTACTTTTCAACATAACTACAACCATTACCTATGCATTTTGACCAGCAGTGAACAAAAGCCTGCATGCTGCACTCATAAAAACCTGGACTAGAGGAGGCAACCCACTGCCACTGTTGCCACTGCATAAACGCACCACCCACCACCTCACTGTGCTAACATCCGCTGTTCGGTCTCTGTAAACATTCAGTAAGCATCAATGAATGTCAATGGATGCATTTCTTTCTGCATGGAGAAATTCAGTTACATTCTTTGATTTATACACAATTCCATATCAAACGTAATAATGTCAGATTGCTCCTCTGCTGCCATTCATTACACGGCAACAAAATTTAATGGAATATTGGTGGGAAGGTTCAGTCTCCACTGCTATCTCACCACCATCTGCCTCTGATGTAATGGGAGCAGCCCTCATGTGTTAATTGCTTTTAGGAATGTGTTTGATTATTTTTAGATGGCTTTAATTGTGATATACCAGCTGCAGGCCTGTGTGACTTTCCTGCTAAACAGAAAACCTTCAGCACTTCTTCAACAGCATCCAAGCTAATTTGCATAGACCTTGAACTTTGGAAGCTCAGGCTATGGTTGCATGCTCTCTGGCTGATGAAAATGTTCAGGTGAGCTTTAGGTTAAGAGAGAGGTTTCAGGTAAACACTTTGCTTTCCAGGAGGCTGTTAAACTCCCAGCATTTCCTCCAGGAGCTCCAAGAGTAGTTGCAGCTATCAGTTACGTTACTGTCATCTAGTGGCCCTCAGGAAATATGCACCCTAAGGTTTCACAGTTGGAGTTAGTTTCCCATTTCAATTCTGTGTGTTACTTACCTTATATATTTAATCTTTTGCTCTGGTGCTGCTAGCTATCAAGGATAATCACATCCAAATTTTACAGATTTCTGTTGCAAATTTCTGTTTTGTAAGGCCAAGTCTTAATAACTAAACTTGGGAAAACACATAGAACTGTCAGGGCACTCCAGTGAGATGAATACTTTGCTGTGTGTAAGAAGCAAATCCAAAGAAATTGAAATAAGAATCTTTTCAGTGAGGCAAAGAGGTTGACCATGAGGAAGCTGGAAAAACAGAGGGAAACTAGTGTTTGGGTGCACTGGATAACAAGTACTGCATTCATTGCTTATCCTCCAGCAGGTTTTGTCCCAATCACAGTTCTGCTCAGGTGCTGAAAAACCTAATAATCAGAAAGGTCAATCTTTTGCTCTTCAGGTAATCTCTGATTCCAGCCAGAAAAACTACAGATCTTGCTCTAAGAAGCATTACTCTAGTTTTGAAACTCTAGTCCCAAACATGGCCAGTCTGATGACCTTTCTCCTTCACTGGTCTGTCCTAATTCTTCAGTAGTTTCTGCATGTTACATTTTAAAAAAATTAAAATCACATCCCAGTTTATTTTTAGGGAAAAATCATTAGTAATACAGAGCTATCAGCATAATTTCCACAGGAGTACAGACATTTAAGGATACATGTTCCTTTTTTTTCTTCTTATTTATTATATTGTGCATCAGCTCGATTCTGTAGTAGGTTGCAGCAGAACACACAGCAGCCCCTCTTTGTCCTGCATATTTTATATACAGCTCTTAGTGAGAAGTATCTCAGCTTTTACTTATTTTAACATCTTAATAGTTTAAATAGCTTTATGTATCTGCTACCAACAGTTACCTTTCCTTAGAAAGCACTGGGCAGGCAGTAGTCACAGTGCACCTGAAGCCCATACTGAGCTGTAACCTGACATTCTTCCTGGCACGTGCCTATAGTAAGATCTCACCAGTTTTCACTATTTCCCCCTGGCCAGCAATGCCAGTAAGATCACTTGCCCTTCACTCTGTAAAAATGTTGTGTACTTGTGCCCTTGCAGCTGCACACAAATGAAATGTAAATTCTCTCTGAAAACATTTTAAAATATATGATATTAAGAAACATTAAAATTTTGTGTGTGAGAGTTTTTTTTTTTCTTTTTAGTATTTCAAGAAGGGCAGAATAAGCATGGTACAGCCAGCTTTCTCCAAAAAATGTAAAGGGACCACCAAAATCTTTTTAAAAGAAACTTTCCTCTAACTGGAAGAAATGTGTTGAGGAAGGCAAAGTACGAGAGCCTAGTCTGTTTCCCTTAGTGCTACTGGTCCGGCTGTGATGTGCAAAGTAGTGCAGAGGTGGCTTTAATATAGTTTCTCTAGAAACTCTGTATTTATGGCTGCAAGTAACTGTAAACATGCAAACTATCAGCAACAGTCAGATGCATAAACAAGACTATACCCTATCCTAACCTGTTTCTTCTCTATGTATGTTCTATCTTTCTATCTAGATTGTCCTTTACAAAAGATGTACTTCACAACTCTCAGAACCTAGATCCTAATGTTTTCTATTTAAAAAAAGAAATGACTTGATGAGACTTACAGAGATTCTAACTGCCTTCACAACAGTTGTGCATTTACTGATGTGACTGGTAATTTACAGCACAAGGCACAAATGAACTGAAGTTAGTGAGAAAATTATAAGCCTATTAAAATTCAACAGTGGAGTTCCCATAGTTTTTAGCAGGAATAGAATTTAATTCTGTTTGTACTGGTTGCATTAGATTTGTAGAGCTTTTTGCTTCTTCAGAGCAGCATAGAATGAAGAGTTGTAACATAATTCAATACATTTAAAAATATAGCAATTGCAACAGAAGTGTTTGAAAAGACTTCTGAAACAAGCATGAAGGGTATCTTCTTTGAAACATGAAACTAAACTCTGTACTTAGAAAGACATTACATTTGCAGTCCCCTTAGAAATATTTCTGAAAAAAATTAACAATCTAATTCATATGTTGAGATTGGAAACACTGAGGAATTGCTTTC